GCATGCCACGTGTTCTCTCCACTCCCGTTCTCGAGCTGGAGTTCGACGGATATCGTCCGTTCACCAAGCATTCGCACAGAGCTGCCGTTTGCTGCAGAAAACTCTTGCCCTACATGCTGTCTCTTCGAATCATCAACGTAGACTCCAAACATCTCTGCATACTTCAGACTCAGCACTGTCACCCCTGCCCCGCTGTCCAGCAACCACCATTCCCCATCTCTCGCTTCTGCTCTCAGTCCAGCGATCACGAGTGGCCCCAGACAAACAGGCTGTTCAACAGGCAACACCGCACTCAACTGCAAACTCTCTCCTACGCTCTCGTCAGCAGCAGCGGTGTTCGATCTCATCTGTCCATTGCTCATCCCAACTGTTGCTCCAGCCCTCATCCCACACAAACGCACCCCAGCCCTCATCGACCTGCGGATGCTCAGGCACTGGCGGCAAAGACTCCACTAATTCAAACATCTTTCCTTTCTTGCCCTTTCCAGGACCTTTTTCTCCCTTTTCTTTGCCCTTTGCCTTTCCTTTTCCTTTATCCTTTCCTTTTCCATCTTTGCCTTTTCCTCGTTCCTTTCCTTTCTCCTTTCCTTTTCCCTTTCCAGAGGATGAGGCTGAGCCGTGGGCTTTACTGCAATGCGCGCTGATGTGTCCTAGTTCCCCACAAGAAAAACACTTCACCTTGGACATGTCTGTGCTACAGTTTTCTGTCTTGTGATTCTTCCTACCACAACGACCACACCGTTCAGCACTTACCGCAGAAACTAACACATCATGCCATGCACCGTCATGCTCACCATGCACACTCATACTGTCCGTCATCGTTCCATGCTGTCATATCAAACACCTCATACACTTGCTTCTTTCCCGGTTCAGGTCCAAGAAAAGTCTCTGCTGACGCTCAAAACGAAGAGCTGCACTCCGACATAACTGATACGTTTCTGCTTCCGAGTGATGCAGAACGTACTTCTTCGCTTCTTCTGGCAAACTCCGCAGCAAAATCACAAGCATGTCTCCATCTCCGATGCTCAACCCTTGCCTGTCTGGTGCTGTTGGCAGCGTGCCCAACAGCTTGGCGTAACGTGACACCTCCATGTCGATCTTTCTGATCACATCACCAACCATCGTAGCTGCATTCATTTCTGAATTTATCAAGGCGAATATTCTGTGCAACAGTTCCGACCGCAAGGCCTCTGCTCCACTGCGCAACAAAAACTGCTGAGCCAGCTGCCTCAGCTCGTACCCACAGTTCACATTCCCCAAACTTCTGGCTGGATCTGCAAGAGACCCATCAAGTGGCAAACCTTCGCTGAACGCCTGTATCATGAGGTTGCCCTAGCATGGTCCAAGAAAGCTGCTTTCAACAAGCCATACAGCCTCGACCGTGTCTTCTGCTCTTCATTCAACGAATGTTGCCAAATCGTATCTGGCCAACGCACACACATGCCTATCTCTTCTGCAAACACAACGCTCGCCAGCGCTGCCCAACTTTGAAGCGACACTACGTAGTCTGCAAACCCAGCAACCTCTTGCTCACGCGTGCTCCACTTCTCTGCATGGGTCACAGGAGGCTGACCCAACCATTTCTCAGATCGCGAAAACACATCCAGCTCCAGGAAGCACACCCGACGTTTGTGGCATGAACTGCTCTCGCCTAGGTTCTACAGGTACTGGCACCGGTCCAAACTGCTCAGACACTCCACGCGCCTGCATTCCAAGTTGCTCCTGAAGCGCCGTTTGCGCCGCTTGAGCTTGCTGTGGATGAGCTGCTGCATCTGGACCAAAACGTCCTGACCAGCCATGCCTTGCCTGGCACCCATGGGGCTTGTCCGAAGCTGCACGCTCGTCTTTGTAAAGGTCGAACTGCACTGTGGAGGCACGTCCTGGCGAATTGCTTGTGTTTTGCGGCCCTGAAAGCGGAGTCGCCCGACTGTAACTTGGGCTTTGTCCTGGCAATGCTGCTAGCGCAGTTGAGTTTTTCTGTGGATAGTCACGCTTTAAGCTCTGGGGAGTTGACCAACGTGGCCTTAACGTTTTTCTGAGGTTGTGCAGAGTCGCTTGCTGGACATTGCAGATGAAAGTTTTTTGGCAGGCTTGGACTTTGAACAGCAAAGACATTTAAGCGTGTTGCAGGCCCGGATTTTAAGTTGCCATGCGCCCAATGAAGAAGAAGATCTTGGGGAAGGGCGTCCCCAGCGACAAGGTTGTGCACGTGGGTTTGGAGTGGGTTTGACCATGTTTTGAAGGGACTGAGAACAGCAGGTGGGTTTGGGGTGGGTTCGGCGTGGGTTTGGGGTGGGTTTGGCTGAGTTTGACCATGCTTGGAATGGACTGGGGTGGGTTTGACAGTGTTTTGAAAGGACTCGGGGTTGGGTTGGACCTGTTCAGAAGGGGTGCGGGTGGTGGGGTGGGTTTGACCGTGTTTTGAAGGTGGGATGGCTTTGGGGTGGTTTTGACCATGCTTTGACGGGGCTGGGATGGGTTTGACCAGGTTTTGAAGGCGCTCTTAGCTTTCGGGTGGGTTTGGGGTGGGCTTGGGCGGGTTTGACCAGGCTACGAAGGGGCTGGGTTGGGTTTGACCTCTTTTGAAAGGGTTGGGGTGAGGGGGGCCTTGACTGTGTTTTGAAGAGGCTGGGAAGGGGGCTTGATTTCCACAGCAAGTGCTAGGAGACCGAGTTCCTGCAGCAGCTTAACCTGCTTGAGAACATAGCGAAGGTCACTTTCCTGCTGCGTGATGGAGGCCCTCCACCCCCGTAGAGTCTTAGCAAAACGGACCAAGGTGGCGAGCCTGCCCGCGAACGGCGGAGTCGCTGTGTTCCCGAATTAAAAAACATTGTTTTGTTATTCCGGGAAGCCTAGGACTCCACGGCACTCTATTGGTAAATTGTAATTTGCGAGGACTCCGCCGACTCCGCCGAGGCTTGTCACGCCGACTCCGCCAGAGCTACAGTAGGTGCCCCTTTAATCTTGATTAGCGACGCCGCGTCAGTGGGCAGGGGTAGAGTTGCGGGAAGAGCACGTGACTAATTCGCTGGAAGTGTGTCAGATAGTCGAAGCAGAAGGCAGTGTGTGCGTGAGGCTTGCAGCTGTGATTCTGTGACCTCCAAATCTGGGGTCGAAAAATCTAGGCAATTCTGGCTTCGTGTGTGTGGGCCTCCCCTGTAAGTCTGGCATCTTCGACAGCGGAAAGCTTTGCAGCACTGCATCTTGGTTGCTGAGCGGAGGCTGTGCATCCTTGCAAGCCGCTTGCTGTGCAGCGAAACTTGAATTTCTGTCTTTTTCTGAGCGACCGGATTTGATTGCTCAATGCATTCACCAGTCTTCTCTGGGCCCCTAAAGTGGGTGTGATGGCCTTTTATGCTTGTGGGACATTCCGAAACTGCAGCAAATCTGATCTTGTCTGTGCGAAACAAAGACAAGGAAGAAACCGTGGTAAAACCGCAGTGGGACAAAAGCCGAAGCTTTGGCACTTGAGCCATGGAATAAGAGGTTGTGCTTCTTCGTTATGCACACGGCTATGCTTCAAAGCAATGCAGCTGCTTCCAAGCTCCCTCAAAGTGCAGATGGGCAACAGTCATTGCAGCAAATCATAGAACGAATCTCTCCTAATTGCTTTTTCTGCGTGGTAACTATTGCAGATTTGGCTTGTTCTGCAGATCGACGTTGCACAGGTTTGGGAAGCCGTGGCTTTGGCTGCGGTCTTGCATTGTTACAAAGGTGGAGAAGTGTTAAAAAGTGTTGGAAGCCTTCAAAGTCTTCAAAGCCTTCAAAGGCAAAGATTCGAAGAAGACTTTAAAGCCCGTTCGTGCTGAAGGTCTGGAGATTGAGAAATTCTCATTGAATGCCTCCATCTTTTTCATTAGAGCGGCCACCGTTTTTTGTTCCACAGTTGAAGTGCGCAGATCTTTTCAGAGCTGAGTTTAAAAGCAAGTGTAATTCCAAATCCAAAAACCCAAACTGAGCCATCGCTAAATTTAAGTTTATCCTCAAATACAAAGGCCATGGTTGCAGAATTTAGAGCAATGTAGAATATTTGTTAGGAACATAACAGAGGAGAAATGCGACGCACACGAATTCTGCAAGTTCCTCACCGTTAACTTACCATAGGTTCTTCTTCCCAATTCGGGCACAAGCTTTGGCGCAAATATGTTTTGAGCGTTCAAACAACGTTGGATTTAAACGTTTTAGCGGGGGGGTGGCTGTTTTCCGAATTAGTAGACCAAGGAACCTTTAAAACAAGTTTTCCATTGAGCATGAGCCAAGCATTGAAAAGACAAAGTTTGAGCCCGCTCGCAGTTCCACTGTTACGGCATCGTGACTTGTTCTTGTAGAAACAGAAATTCATTTTTATCCTTTGGCTTGCTTTCTGTTCTAAGGAAAATTTTTGGTTGCCGTTTCATCAGGTTGCCAACTGTAAGACATTTACACCTGCTGTCCGCATTCCACCATTCCGTGCTCCACATTTACGGTTCATGCGTCAGTCTCCACGCTTCATTCCGCGTGCTGCGCTCCACGCTCCAATCTTGCAAGATGTGAGAAAATCCCGAGGGGTTGGTTATAGATTCAAATTATTTTCATCTGTGAGGCAGAGGCGCATTCAGTATTCAACGTCTTTACGTGTCCATGTGCATGTTTTTTTTTTCCAATCCGCGCAGAAGGAGTCTTTCGTTCTGCAAAGTAGAGCCATCCCTGCTGCCGAGGGATGAGCAGATGTGTGAAGCCACTGCTGCGGCTGCAGACTCCTGTAAACACACCAAAACATGTTGCTGTATGACATAACGCAAAGGCTTTGAGCAAGCTGTTTATGATCAAACACAAGGAAATCCAACAGACAAGGTGTGCATGTCATGGACGTTGATGCATCTCATGTTGGGAACGCACATGGTGATTGCAGCAGTCGGTAAAGCCATCACGTATTGAACTGTTGTTGCTTGGAGCCATTGGCTAATGACCAAGGAACCATATGGTGAAGCGCTGAGCATTAAGGTTTCATATCTAGGACAATGGCATGCTGGCTTGGAGCCTTTCTTGGTAGACCCGAAGGCACCCGTCCGGCACATGGAAGTGATTGATGATTTGGTGGTGTGTACTCATGTTGATGCCAGGCTTGACGACAGCATCGCAAAATCGGCCCATACACGGCAACAGCCTTATAGGGTTGTTGCAGTGCTGCCGGTGATTTCCTTCACGTGTGTGAGGCGTTGGAGAGTTCCGAACTTAGCAGCTCAGGTGGGTATCCGCAACCAGTGTCCGGCACCGAATGATGGCTTTCATGTTAATGTGTTCACTTCGCAAGTCCCCATAGTTTCGGGTTGATCCAGAGTCTGAACTGAAGGGCTTCAAGGTGCGGATTTGGCAGTTCAAATCCCGAGCCTAATTTGGTTCTCACCTGGCTTCGGGTCCAGTCATGCTCACCCAACGAATTTCCGTCCAGCAGAAGTTTGCTCCCGAGCTCTAAAGCTTGAAGCCTTTTGAGGCCCTGAACCCCCGAAACCGTGAGTCCAAAGCTGTAAAGGCAGTGGTCGGCATGGCCTTGGTGCACGGAGTTCAGCACAGAGGGCACGTTGCAGCGGGGGATTTTGCGTGATTTGGGAGTTTTTGGGGGTGTCGGGGGTTTCGGGGGGTTTGGGAGTTGTGGTGTTTGTGGCTTTCGGGGTTCGCAAGTTTTGGGGTTAGCGTTTTAAGTTTGGGGGTTTGAGGGTTTGGGGGCTGGAATTCCTGGGTGCAGGCAAGGCGGATTTGGAGGCATTGCGCTTCTGTTGGGATGTGAAGGTCTGTGAGAGGTTGGCCGTTCGCAGTTGACTGATGGAACCAGGTTGAGATCTAGGGAGCAAAGCGCCACGAACGGATGCCTTAAACCCTAAAGCCCCAAACGCCCACAAGCCCCACAAAACACCCCAAGACCCCGATGCGCCACCAAACCCTCAAGCCCTTAAACTCCCTAAGGCCTTCAAACCCCAAACTCCCGCAAGGCCCGGGCCTGAAGATGGAGCTGCAGGAGCAAAACCTTGCGGGTTGAATTCATTGCCGTTTGGCTTGCTGGCTATATAGGTACCTTTGCCTTGATTCCCGAAACCCGAAACCCTAAACCCTAAACTCTAAACCCTTGAAAGCGGCCCTCACGCCGGGAGGAAGCCCTAGGGCCCACCAAGCGTGCCTGGCACGAGACCCAGAGCACATCGGGCGGATGTGGAAGAGATACGGCAGAACACAGGGTTCTGTTGCACGTGCAGAGGAGAGTTGCAATTGGGGAGTTGGGTCTATCCTCATGTTGTCTCACATTGGGTTACGGTCTGTGGTCTCACCAGTGGAACTTCAACCATCCGAGAGTGAGACCTGACGCACCTTGATAGCTTCAGCAGCACCATTCGTATCATTTTAAGTTTTTTGTTCTTAGTATGACGAGTGCTGGTTAGAATTGGGGTTTTGCGTCTGTTGGCGGAATGAAAGCCTCGAAGCCTCCCCTCAAACCAAGGTTTTGGAGAAAGCAATGGGAACTCCTCCATAACCCCAAACCCCAAACCCTAAACCCTAAACCCTAAGCCCTAAACCCTAAACCCTAACCCTAAACCCCTGAACCCTAAACCCTAAAGCCATTGAAGCGCCCTTCTTCGTTGAACGGGGCTGGGTAGTTCAAGGCTTTGGGTTCCTGCTTCCTGCTTGGTGGGTCTTGTCTTGGGTTTGCCTCGGGTCCGTTTGGGTTTTCTGCGCTTCCCCTTGTGTTCTCATGGGTCCCCCTACAGAACCTTCAAGCGCCAAGCAAAAGCCCAGAGGCCCGACGGTGTCGGAGAGGTGGGGCTCGTGCCTGCAATCGGTTTGGGCATCAGAATGCAAGGGGTCCAGGCCGTCTAGGCCCTGCGTCTTGAGTCGTTGAGCCGTCAACCCAAACGCCCAGGGCTCTCGTTGCAGGGTATGTGCGGTCCATGGGAGCCAGGGCCGAACATGGCCGAACTGTAGGTCTAGACATGCTGGTCTTAGAAATCTTCCCAAACGTATATGCGCATGAAGTTTGCAGGCATTGCCGACTTGCACTTCAGCAAAGCGCATCTGCACCAACCAGGCAGGGGGTCCTCTGGGTGGCCACTTGGGGGGCACCTTAGTCAAGAGCAAACACTCGAAGCTCGGATCCCGTTTCGAGGCCCCCGAAACTGCCCTTGGGCCACTCGGTCTCACCGTGCCTTGTGTGGGTTCTTCGAAACTAGGGCCTTCTTTCTCAACACCGGGATTCTTTCTAAACAGGTTTCTCAAAACAGGGGCCCTCATCAGAACAAGTTCCCCCCCCCATGTGGCCAGGTCTACCACACCCGCAAGCGTGCCCGTGAGCCGGAAGCCTTGGCTGTCCACAGCTGAGGGCTGCTCCGGTAGGAGACTTGAAGGTCCATGTAGCTGCCCGAGTTGAAACCCTGCTCAGACGGACCCGAAAAGAACCTTCAAGCAGGGGTTAGTTCAGTCTCGAATACCTGGCCTGTCTAGGTGTCAGCTCCAAGAATGCTCGGGCATTGCACCGTTCACATTTACAATCTAGGTACGATTTCCAGTGTTAACATTGGCATTGTGAAGGCCTTGAGAGGGCGTCGCGAAGTGAGGGAGATTTTTTCGGGAATTTCCGAGTCGACCATACCATAAGATCCCAAGGGGCTCCAAGGGACTTTAGGCCCTAAACCGAGCATTCGATGTTGCGGAATGTTTGTCCAGGGTTCGGCCCTGTGAAAGACGTGGGTCGTCGTATCAGGGTCTTGAGCCGCGTGCTGACCGGTGCACAGCACGAGCGCAACCAGAAACGGTGTTGGATCTCGGTGTGCTTGGGGAAAAACAGTGGTGCTGCTGTGGCCCCCTTGTTGCCTTCTTGCGAAGAGGCTTTCTCGCAATGCCCATGGTTGCCAGTGTGAAGCATGTGAAGCTTCTGTGGGCCCCCACTACCAGGGTCCTGAGCCAGCTCGGTTTTGGGGTTCTTAGGGTTTTAAAAGTTTTGGGACAATTTAGGCAGTAGAAGCCCTTGAGCGCCAACATCCGAAACTCCTCCGCCACCCCTAAACGCAATCCTGCCTCAATGTTTCCTCAATGCCCCTACCCTACCCCAAACCCCAAACAACAAACCCTAAACGCTAAACGCTGAACCCTGAACCCTAAACCCTACACCCTAAACCCTAAACTCAGCCCTCAGCAATTTCAGGGGCTCGAAGCGGATGTGCTTGCGCCCGACAGCGGCCGCGGCAGTTCCAAAATGCAGAGCCTCGGTTCTCTCCCAGCTTTCTCAAGGATGGTGGATGAATCTCCAAGGTTTTAGAGTTTTGCTGAGGTTAAGCGTTGAGAGACTTTTGGGGGGTGAACCATGGTGGAGCTTTTGGGCTCCCAATCACGTTTTTTCAAACCTCTCAGCAAGAGACGCTAGCAAGGAGGCATCCTATACCGCCATCCTTTCACCTCCAAGATCTCCCCGGCACACCCCCTCCCCCACCCCCCACTTCCTGAGGTCCTAGAGCCTTGACTGAACCTAAGCCCCAATCCCCACTTCCTCAACCCGAAGCATCCTTTTAGCCCGAGTGGAGTGCAGCTCTCCTAACCCTTCCAAACGGAAGTCCCGCTCAGGAATGTTACGGCTTTGGGGTCCGGTGCCCGTCAATTTCTGGGACCTTCACCAGATCGGGAGCAGGAGTATTTTGCCTTGGGGCTTTTGTGCCCTACTCCCCAAGCTCCCAAAAAAGTCGCTCCCGCAAATCCTAGATTCAGCCCGAAAACTCTAAGCCCTACGCTTGCGGGAGGGCTGTCCATTCGGCGGTCCCAGCAAAGTTGTTGAGTTCACCATTTACCTTGAACCCTAAACCCTGAAAGCCTTCATTCCTGAACCTCGAACCATATCAAAACTCTGAGACTCTAAGCCCCTAAGCCCTAAACCTCTAAACCCCAAGCCCTAAATCCCTAAACCCTAAACCCTAAACCCTCAAAAGCCTTCAAGGAAGCCCCGGCGCCCGAAGCCAGAAGACCCTTACCTACCTCGAGGCCGAAGAACCCGTGGACGGCAAATCTCCTGAGCGCGTTGGGGGCCCTGAGCTTGTATCAGGGTTTCGAAAGGGTGGGGTTTGGGGTTTAGGGTTTAGGGTTTAGGGTTTAGGGGTTTTAGGCTAGTCTTGCAAGATCCTCGCCGCTTTATGTGAGTTCAGGCTGTTTGGGGTGTGACAATGTGGGACGTCAGGGCAGGGCTGAGCCAAATCATCGCCTTAAAACGACGTAACCCTACAGGCTTTCCCAAAACCCTACGACCCCCAACCTGTCAGGATCTTCAGTCCTGGGTCTATAGACGGCTTTTCTTCAATACTTCAGAACAGGCCCCTTTGCGCTTGTAGAGTGAGAACCTGAACTTCGCTTACAAACTTGAGATAGCAGCGAGGCTGGGCATCATGCACTTCACCAATGAGGAGATCAAGGAGGCCAGGTTTTGAGCTGTTCTCAGACTGCTCGCTCCGCCTTTCGCGGCGGGTGGGCTGCCGTGGAGTTTAGGGCCCCACGAAGGCCCGAAAGGGTGCAGGTCGGAGTTTAAGTGGAGACCCAACCCGAAAATCTTTAAACCTAAGCCCGCCGGCAAAGCTTGAGCAGCTCAAAAATCGCCAAACCCCCGTTTTTTGTTTCCTTCCTTTTCCGTTCTTATTTCTATGTTTTCCCCCCTCTTACGCGCCAGACTTTCGACTCCCTAGTCGGGGAGGCACGCACCCCAGACTGGGCCGAGGGTTTTTATCTCAAGGGTTTCTGGTTGAGGGGCTCGAGAAGCTGAGGAGCTGCAAGGCTTGCGTGGTCTGGGTGAAGGGCTTCAGGGTTGATACAGGCCGCGGACTTTAAGGCTCCTGCTTCAGTTCATGAGTTTCAGCTCAGGACATGGAGTTTCGGGGGCTTTCCTTGAGATGAGGAGTTTGGGTTCAGGAGTAGACCGGCAGCTGAAGCTTTCGTCGCTTTGCTTCGGAGGTTCGTGCAGGCCAAGACTTCAGATTCTGTGAGGTCGCAAGTCCGGGGGAAGCAGCTGTGATTTCGAACGCGGGGTGTTGTCGGGTGTTGGGCTGTAGAGTTGGTTCAGGGCTTGTCGGGGATCGGCAGCGGTAGCTACGTGCCCGCAGCTCAGGGAAAGCCTGAACCAAGAAGCCGGGTGTGGATGTCACCGCCCGCCCAGGCTCAATCGATTCAGAAGGTTCGGATGTTTGAGCTGCTCAAGGCAGGTCGTCTTCGGAGCGCCTCGAATGGCTTCTGTGATCACATACGCTCCAATTGCGCGCTGGTTCAGCCTTGCACCTGCACTTGTGCACGCGTCCGCATCCACGCTTTTTTGCACCCAACCTTAAAGCCTGAACCCGAATCCTCAAGCAGGTAGCCTACGGATTCGAGCCGATGCCCGAGGATCGCAGATGCGAGAGTTTTTTAGGGGGTTTAGGGTATGAGGGTATGAGTCTCCGTTGGTTCAGGGTTTAGGGTTTAGGGTTTGGGGGTGTCGGGTCTCCTTCGTGATCCTACCGGGGAGGCTTGGGGTGCTCGGAGCCCATCTCCCCCATGGCACGGAACAGGAGATGGGCCTCTTTGTGAACACTTTTCGCGCCTGAGCCGCATTTAAAGGTTGGGGATTTTTTCTGGAACGAAAGCCCAGCCTGACCTACTGTAGGGGCCTGTTAGCCTTGCGACATCCCAAACATGCGAAACCGGGGCTTGGCGAGCTGAGGGTTTGGAGGTTTCAGTCTCGCGGGATGGGCTCCCAAGCCTTATGATCAAGTTCGGAACCCCGAAGCCTCGGAACAGCTGCGAAGCCAAGTAAGTGTATTGCCGTTCCCCAAACCATCCCAAACCCCTTTCAGAAGCTCTCAGAACTGAAAGCGCTCGTAAACGGTGTTTCTTCGAAACTCACAGAGTCTTCGAAAGCCTGCCCGCAAAGAACTCGAAGACGACGCTGGCGAACTCTCGTGGCCAGAGCTGGAGGCGTGGCGCTTTGTGATCATGGCTTTGGGCTTTGAAGGAATTGGGGCTGAAAGGCACTGAGACTCTGGCGAGAGTCAGTCGTCGCAGGGTTGCAGGGTTGGAGTGGCTAGACCTGAAGTGTTTGCAGGTAGCAGGTCCGAGATCTGCAGCAGTGCCTACTTTGCCCAACCAGTGCAGGGATGGGGTTTGAATACCACGTCTGCTGTTGCAATTTCTTCGTTCCCCAGGCACCCTAAACCCCAAGCTGCCCGAAACCCTAAACCCCAAACCCGAAACCCCAAACCCCAGCCCTAAACCCTAAACCCTAAACCCTAACCCTAAACCCTAAACCCGAAACCCGAAAACCCGAAACCCTAAACCCTAAACCCTAAAGACCACCCTCGCCAGGCAGGGTTCGACGAGATTCGAGACATCCTGCCGCTCGGCTGGGAGTGTTGCCGCAGGTTTGTGGGCTGGGGGCCCTAAACTCCCTAATCTCCCTAAACTCCCTAAACACCCCAAACTCAACAAATTCAGGGGGTCTGAGGTCTCGTTCCCTTGCGCGGCGATCCTCATCGCCCTTACAACAAGCCCTAGATGGGGGTTTACTTAAATAGGGACCCTAATACAGACCCCCAAATAGTAGGATCCCCTTATGATAAGGACCCCAATAAGGCACCCCCTAATTTCGGAAATCCCCACATGTTTGTTTCCGGTACCAGGGGTGCAGGCTCGAGAGTTTACGTCCGGAGTCCGGTCCACAATCCTCATTGCTTCCCGTTTTCACGGGCTCCGAAAAGCCCCCGGTCTAGGGTGTAGGGTTTAAGGTTACCAGAGAACTATGACGATGCCTTGAAGAAGAGTATGTGGGTTGATGTAAATGTCGGGGGTTGACCTTCCAGGTCAGTCCGGGTTTAGGGTGTAGGGTTTCAGGTTAAGTGAAATATTACCAATAACTATGACGATGCCTTGAAAGTGTATGTGGGTTGCTGTTGGGGTGGTTGACCTTCCAGGTCCGGCGTGTCGAAGAATGCCACCGAGTGCCTTGCAGGGTCAAGTTGGCCCTACGTCAGTCTTTCAGTTGCTGCCAGTCTGATTCATGTCAAGTGCAGCATGGATCCTTTTGAAAGTCTTCAGAAATCCCGCATTGTCTCTGAACTAAACCCGTGCGAGGTACACCTCATCGGACGACCTTAGAACCGATGCCCTCAAGCCAGCGCCCTCAGTTGGACGCTGTCGCAGGGCAAAGCCGCTGTTTCCCAATGGGCTTTCATCCGATAAAGGATAGTGAGGGCGGCTCCGTTGTTTGATCTGAAGTTTTACTTTTTGCCGGTACCTGGATCTGTGCTTTCAGTTTCACACAAGCTATATTCTTCTGTCTCAGAGAAACTAGAAGCAGCTGTTTGTGCTCGATGAAGAGAGGGCTTGCCTTGGTGGAGCCTTGAATAGTTTTTGGAGACAACAAGATACCTTTTGTTCGTGTCAATATCAAGCCTAACAAGAACGAAATGTCTTGTTGTTGCTAACCGGAAACAAGACATGTTTCCATAAAAGGTAATCATAAGACATCTCTCTTTTGGTATGAATGATGCTTTCAATACGATCTCTGAACAAAAAGGGTCCTGAGGAGAAAGGTATCTTGCCTTGCTTAACAAGAAATGTGAAAGTCGGATGACGTGCTGGGTCAAACTTAACAACACAAAAGAACATGTAGATCGCGCGCTTATCTCCTGTCTTGCTCTTACCTGATGAGAAAGCTCATTCTTCTCTGATAGCAGCTTCCCCAAGAAAAGTGAGCGATTTGCCATCAACAATCAGAGAACCCCTGTTCATCTTGGCGGTCATCAGAGAGCGAGTCCTTGGTTCTGTTTGTCCATGTGCTGTCACAATATTCTTTCCGCCAGGGCGGGGTTGGGCGTGTGGGCTTCCAAACCCTAAACCATCCTAAACCGCACACTAAACGCCTAAACCCTAAACCCTAAACCCTAAAAACCTAGAAGCCTACAAACCTAAACCCTGAACCCCAAACCGACAACATTGGGACTTCACAGCATTTCGTGAGCCTGGGAGAGCAAAAGCCTCGACAGATGTCCCAATGCTTTTGGGGCCCCAATACACCCAACAAAACCAGGGTTTAGGGTTCAGGGTCAAGGGGTTAGGGTTTTGTTTCGGAAGACCCCCCAAATCATTGTTTTTTTTTGCGCTGTGGTGCTTTCCCTTGTAACTTTGAAGGGGGAAAAAGCCTCGTGATGCACCGTTGTATGAAGCTCCGTTAACAGAGAAATAGGTGGATCCATGCGCGCTACCATATGGTCAGTTCTCAAAATGATAGTCCCTTGAAACCAGGGGCTGCCTTAGCATAGTACCCCAAAAAACGACCATATTTTCGAGAAGTGACCATACGTGTATATATATATATATGTATTTATTTATCGCGATGCCCAGGATTGATAGGAAGCTTGCCCCTTGAGTTTAGGGTTTGCCGTTCAGGGCACCAGCCCCTGCCCCCAGCCCCGAGGCACCGGCGGCTTATGAAGGATCCCATGGACAAGTTCAAGGTTTTGGGGGTTAGGGGTGGTTCGAAGTTTTGGAATTCGGGGGGGGTGGGGGGGGATTTTTAAGGTTCTGGGCCTGGGGTCTCGGGTTCATCATCAGCTTTAGGGCGCTTGGAGTGTGAGCCGTGAGGCTGAGGTTCATGATGCTTGACCGGAGGTTGCGTTTGGGGCCTGGGGATGTGAAGCCGTTCCATGCCCTGAGCTCTGAGCTGCCATGAGCCACCCTAGTCCAGATCACAAGACTCTGAGGGAGCTCAAGAAGACTCCGGACTTGTCGGATCCAGGTTTGGAGTGAGCCGGAACTGTAGGTTCAGGGTTTAGGGAGTTTCGGGTCTAGGCAAGGAGCAGTTGGAACAGCTTTGTGAAATCATGGACGTTTCTGTGTTCGGAGCTGCACCGCACTGGAGTTTTCGGGCGTCAGAGCCTGCACTCTCTTGTTGGAGAGGTCGAAACCAAGTCCTTCTGGTGTGCCAACGACTATACAAAAATAGCTCGCCGCCAAACCCACTCCCGTGCTGTACACCCTGCTTGAGTCCAGGAAGTTGCAGAAGGATCCCCTCTGAAAAGCCCAAAGCCTCAGGGTTTAGGGTTTGGGGTGCATGTCGGGTAGATGTCAAGAGGCTTCCCTCCGCCAGGCCCCGATGACCGAGTCAATGTCCATTGGCTGGCATGAAGAGGAGGCAGCTTGCGCCTTCCGGTTTGTACAGACTATTCTGATATTGTTTCTTTCTTTTCGCAGTCATTAGAGTCTTGTTCTAGTCTCGTTTAACCCTCAGTTTTGATTGTTGTGCTTGCATCTACTGTGACTTCTACTCTTCGTCATATTACCATTCGTATCCCCCATACACCTCAACCAAGGAACATTCCCTACTTCAGACCTCAATCACGTGCACCCCCCACACGAAACCCGCCCTCACACATTCCATCCCCCCTCTCCACCCGGCACTTTCGAGTAGCTATCCCTAACCCCAGGTGCAGCACTCTCCTGTTTGCCAGGTCTTCAATGAGCGCTTCCCCAAGCAGTCCTGTTCCGAAACGAGGCAAGCGCCCGCTCCGTTAGGGTGTGGGGCGTTCGAGGTGTTTGAGGTTGTTTTTTGGGGGGGTGTGGGGTGTGTGGGGTGTGTGGGGTGTGTGGGGTGTGTGGGGTGTGTGGGGTGTGTGGGGTGTGTGGGGTGTGTGGGGTGTGTGGGGTGTGTGGGGTGTGTGGGGTGTGTGGGGTGTGTGGGGTGTGTGGGGTGTGTGGGGTGTGTGGGGTGTGTGGGGTGTGTTGTGGGGTGTGTGGGGTGTGTGGGGGTGTGTGGGTGTGGGGGGGTGGGGGTGTGGGGGGTGTGGGGGGTGTGGGGGTGTGGGGGGTGCGGGGTGTGCGGGTGTGTGGCGGGGGGGGGGGGTGGGGGTGTGGGGGTGTGCCGGGGTTGTGAGGGGGGTGTGAGGGGGGGTGTGAGGGGGGGTGTGCGGGGGTGTGCGGGGGGTGCGGGGGTTGTGCGGGGGGTGTGGGGGGGTGCGGGGGGGGGGGTGTGCGGGGGGGTGGGGGGTGTGCGGGGGGTGTGCGGGGGGGTAGTGCGGGGGGTGTGCGGGGGGTGTGCGGGGGGGTGTGCGGGGGTGTGGGGGGTGGGGGGGTGGCGGGGGTGTGGGGGGGTGTGAGGGGGGTGTGCGGGGGGGGTGTGCGGGGGGTGTGCGTGGGGTGTGCGGGGGTGTGCGGGGGGGTTGCGGGGGGTGTGGGGGGGTGTGGGGTTTTGGGGTTTTGGGGTTTTGGGTTTTGGGGTGTTGGGGTGTTTGGGGTGTTTGGGGTGTTTGGGGTGTTTGGGGTGTTTGGGGTGTTTGGGGTGTTTGGGGTGTTTGGGATGTTTGGGATGTTTGGGGTGTTTGGGTGTGTGTGTGTGGGGTGCTTGGGGGTGTTTGGGAGTATTTGGGGGTGTTCAGGGGTTTCTGCGGGTGTTTTTTTTTTTTTTTTTTTTTTTTAAGGGGGTGTTTGGTCTGTTTGGCTGGTTTTTTGCTTAGCTTTCAGAGTCATAGGCCGGAGCAGTAAGTTTCACAATGGAGGGGTGGCAGCGCTGGAAGGTATGCCGATGAGATGGTGAGGTGCAAGCTCGACCCCTTCTGAATTTGCGGACCCAGATCTCACCCCGGGTGCACTTTCCACCCGGCATGTTCTCACCATCTACGATCAGCTATGATAGGCATGCAGGATGCACGGCAGCAGGCCCTGAGTAGGCTCGTGTTAAGAGTATGTTGCTTTCTTGTATGTGACTGAAGATCGTGTCACTGCAAGCAATAGGCATGGCATGCACACAACCTCACTGCACAGAGTAAGAAAGAAGTGCGTCGATGGGTCGGGGCGCGTCGGTCCTGGCTCCCGAGTCCCCCCACCCGGGACTCCGCCCGTGCGGTCCTCAACATGTGGCACGGTTAGCAAAGGGTGAGGGCTTTGTTTTGAGGTCACTTCCAGTCCGGCCTGCACACGCACACACACACACAGTGTGTCTCTTTCTCTCTCTGTCTCTGTCTGTCTCATTCAGTGCTCTTTCGTTGTTTATTCTCTCTCTCTCCCTCCCTCTCCTTCCTTCTCTCCCTCACTACCTTTCTAGGCGCACACCACCCCCGGCATGACTGGATTCTGAAGCCTTTTGGTCGTAGCGTTGCCAGTTGCTGGCAAGGGGGGGTCCACCGCCATAATGTCGTCCTTCACCATGCCTCGCGTTGCTTTTGGCTGTTGGGAGTTGCCCAAAGGGAAAGTGGAGGAAGTCGTGTATGAGGCCATCAAGGCGGGCTACCGGCACATCGACAGTGCTGAGATCTATGGCAATGAGGAGGAAGTTGGCAAGGCTGTTGCCAGAGCCTTGGCGGAAAAGATCGTCACACGTGCCGACCTCTTCATTTGCTCGAAGCTTTGGGGTACCGACTGGCACAAAGTCAGGGCAGCGTGTGAGAAGTCCATTGCGGCCCTCCAGTGCGAGTACATTGACTTGTACTTGATCCACACCTCGATCGGCCTCGATGCGGCCGTCCCTGCGGATGCCAATGGCAAGCCCGCTCGCGCAAAGATCCCTGTTCCTATATCCCCCTTGGGAATTCTTTTTGTATTTTTGTTTATATAAAGCCCAAGAGGATATTAAAAATAATATTTCTATTGAGGTTCTAAGGGGGTATAGGTTCATCGTGTCTGGGCAGACATGGAGAGCCTCGTCGACGCCGGACTGTGCCGCCACATCGGCGTCTCGAACTTTTCCTGCCTCCAGATTGCCGACATGCAGACATACGCCAGCAAGCCCATCGCCTGCAACCAGCTTGAAGTGCACCCCTCCTACCCCAATCGTGCGCTCGCGGACTGGTGCGTCTCCCAGGGCGTGGCAGTTGTGTGCTACTGCCCTCTCGGCACAGGCAAAGGCGACCTTGAGCTCCCTGCTCTGAAAGCAGCTGGTGCGGGTGGACCCGGAGCCGCGGCCTCTCCCGCCCTTGCCGCCCTGCGCTGGGCCTTGGACAAAAGGTACCACGTTATCACGAAGAGCACTAACGTGGAGAGGATGAAGGCAAATCTTCTCGCCGACTCGGACTCATGGTCGCTGTCACCTGAGCATACCGCGGCGATTGATGCCGTGTCGGGCAAGTCATCGTCCGTCGACCTGGCCTTCAAAATCTGTGATCACGCCGAAGAGTTTGGCCTTCCGATGTACAACTGACCCCTTTTCCATCGTGCGATTGCACAGCATTAGGGCCAGGACATTTTTAATGTCCACGAGAGGATGCGTTCAAGCGCGCTTTTGTCATGGCCAAACCGCAATCATTTGCGCCGAACACAAGCTGTTTCATGTATTGACTCTGAGACGATGTTGTTCTATTCTTTCCCATTTTCTGGAAAGAGAACATCACCATTGACCGACAGTATTTGTACCCCGAACATCCAATTTTGCGATATGTTTCTCAAGAATGGACTCATGCAAACGTTGGGTGACGCAATTCTTTTTATCAGAGCTCTACGTGCCTTGTACACTTAACCTTCTTCAAGATTTCATATGAAGTTCAACCGACAAACATAGTTAAGGAGGCAAGTCAGCTACGGGCTGTGGCGCACTACCACCCGGCAGCTTCTGTGAGAGGGTAAAGCCGAGCGTCAGCTCACGAGAACCCTACATGTCACCACCAAAGGCTCCCGGGGCTGTGACCACAGAGTATTCGTAAGGCTTGCACGAAACATCGGAGATGGCAGAAAGAAAGACGCAGTACTCCGCTACTTGCCTGGAGATCTTTGAAAGATGTGTAGAAGTCCCGAGACAGGAATGGTTTCGGGATCAGGGCTGCACGCGGCTATCTGGCTCAAGAACCGGTTTGTCCAAGGAGCAGTCCACCACAAGCCTTTGAAGCCACCATCTCCCTGGGTCACGTGAATTCTAGGGAGCTGCAGCCTCACTAAGTATACGTCAGTTTCCTGGGTTCCAGTGTGGACCTGGGTAGGCCGCCAGGTGGTTTTGAGGGTTCTTGTGGTACAAGTCTGATCTCAGCATTGCCAGTGGGTTCAGGGTCTAGGGTTAGTTGTGCAGCCTGTTGCAAGTTGCAAGATGCAAACTCAGACTGCCGCTCCGTTTTTGTCAGGGCGAATGACGTAGGGTCCATAGGGTACAGTTCAAGGGCCACGCCCGGTAAGCCGCGATATTTCCGCGCCTGGTGTGGCCGCCAGAATGCCGGGAGACCCAAGGGTGTGTCGCCCGAACTCTGGAAATGGGCTCGGGGGCTTATTGAGGTTCAGAATTGGGATGTTCCCCCTTATACTTGCAGTCCTGAATAGGGATTATAGTACCCCCCCAATATAGTCTCTAGGAAGGACGGTTAGTAGAAGGGGGAACATCCAAAGTTGAGAACGTGAACCAAACTTTAGAATTTGTCGGGTCAGTTCTTCGAGTTATGCTCCTTGGATTCCCGAAGCTGTAGCACGGGTTGCGGGTTTAGAAGGGGACGATACTTCGGAGAGTTTGGGTTAGGAGTTGTTACAACATAAACCCAAAGGAGTCGAAACTTCAGAGATGACAAAAAGTTACACCTCGCACTTCACCTCAACATTGTTATATCTTGGAATGTTCCCCCCTATACTAACAGTCCTCAATCGGGATTATAGTACCTTATTACAATCCTTATTAATGATTGTTAGTCTAAGGACAGAGAAGACTTGAGAAGGACGAAGGATTTTGCAGAGAAAGAACCGACCAAGCACAAGAACATCCCCAAACCCCGCATCTGCCAAAATATCCTGAAGGTCCTGAATCCTAATAAACCCTTGCGCCTTGGAACCCGCACCCTGAAAATCCCAAGAAAAGAGCCCTGTTCACTTCCTAAGCAAAAGCCCTGAATTGCACCTTCTTGTGCCACCGCCAAGCTCTTTCGATTGGGGGAGAGTCATCGGCCTTGCTTTTGTTACACTTCTTGGGCCCTCTTGAGGGGGCGTACGCCCTAAGCCCCACACCTCTGAGCCCTAAAGCTGCTGGACAGCCGAGACTCTGGCAGCAACATGACGGCCCGGATCGAAACCAGCATGGGGCGCGCGGCCCGAGGGTCTTCAGGGGTTGTAAATGAGGCTTTGAAAGGGTTTTCAGGGGATGTTCGAGAGGGTTCGAACAGGGGTTCGACGGGATTTCAGAGGGGTTTGTTGCAGGGCTCTTGATGTGGTCGCTCAAGGCCGCTAAAGGGATTAAACAACATTTCAGGGGGTCATGCAGGAGTTTCCGCTGCAGAGAGAGGAGCTGTTTGCAAGTAAGAGGCCATGTGTGGCGAGATGCTGACCCGAAGCGTCCTGCCCTGGATTGCCCAACCGCAAAGAATCCCTGTATGCCGACAGTCCCCCCAGAGCAATACCCTGCCCATCCCCAACTCCTCCAGCAGCGAAGCGAAGGTCGTTGCGAATCAGGCTACATTACGCCAAGACGCAGGGATCTCGAAGGGGAAGGGGCTGGAGATGCAGTCTCCTTGAGGGTTTGGGGTTTAGGGTTTAGGGTTTATGGTTTAGGGTTTGGTCTTCGGGTGCAGGGACATACACACAGGGCTTGAGGGTTCGGCACTGAGCTTTTGCCGATGGCAAAGGGCTGAAGGGTGTGCAGCCTTCAGCCTTCAGGGTCCGAGGCTTCCCGAGCTTTCCAGGGTTGGAAACGGCTTCCAGGACATTTCGGAGCCTGTGGCGATTTGGGACAAGGGGCCCTATAACCCTAAACCCTGAGCCCTGAACCCTAAACCCCGAAGCTGCACAAGGGTCTTCGAGGCTGAAAGGGAACGTTTCCAACCTCCGCCGACTCTCGGACCCTCGATTCACTTTGTGGACTTGCAAAAACCAATCTTATGAGACTCCTGTTTTTTTTTCATTTTTTCCGAGGCTTTCTCTCACCTCTTTCGGGGGCCGTTCCGAAGCTTGTAAATGTTAAAGCATCTCAGCTTCAGTGACAAACCCTTGCAGCCCCAAAACCCTGCGTCCCCAAGCCCTGAGACCTCCCCGAAGTCTTAAAGCTGGTTAGTAGGGAATGGGGGAATGCGGTACCCTACATAACCCCTTAAAGGGTATATATAGGGGCGGAGATAGGGGGTCCCACGCCTTCGGCGAATTGACCGGGGCGCCAGCTGCGCTGGCGAACCCTAAACCCTAAACCCTAAACCCTAACCCTAAACCTTAAACCCTAAACCCTAAACCCTAGACCCTAAACCCTAAACCCTAAACCCTAAACCCTAAACCCTAAACCCTAGACCCGCCCGCCACCCCTCTCACCTCTGTTGGGTAGGCGGGCGCAGTCGAGCGCTCAGCGAGACCATGGCAGGCTCTGCTAGAGCTGCAGAGCCTGCCCACTGCACCCCTGAGGGGTCGCCAAGCTTGGTCGCCAAGCATTGTCACTGTAGCCGGGAATCCTTTGCCTTTAAAAAGATCTGAGAAGCCCTGAAAACCCTGGGTGGGAAGGCCCCTGACAGGCCCTGAGAGGGGAGGCGTTTGGGAGGCGTTGGGAGGCCCTTGCGCGGCCCCGGGACCTCCCCGGGACAGGGCACCTCATTCCCCCATTTCCTACTTGGAGGTTCATGGTACTTATTAACCAATTATCACTGTACTTATAACCCACTTAGAAGCCCCGTAAGCGCCCTGATATGATTAAAAGTACAGTTTGTGCAGTTACCCTAAACCCTGAGCCCTAAATCCTAAACTCTAAACCCTAAACCCCTTCAAGTACAGTTATAATTGATTAAGAAGTGGCCTGAACCTCCAGGTACTAGCAGTAAGAAGCTTGAAAGCTCCCAAGGCCACTGACCAGCAGAAACTTCCTGGAGCTGGCCAAGTCTGGGTGAGCCCTGGGTCGGGGTTTCGGGTTTAGGGTTCAGGGTTTAGGATTTAGGGTTATAATCTATTTTTTCGGAGGGGCTCTGAAGCAATTAGTAGTCTGGTGTGTTGTTTGGCATCGGGCTTGGTTAGGGTTTGGGCGAAGAGTTCAGGGTAAAGCAGCCTTGGCTTTCGGGAGAAAGCATGGAGGTGCAGCGGTTTCGGTTTCATTTCTGTCCTTTTTTTGGTTTAGCGGTTTAGGGTTTCAGGGTTTAGGGTGAAGCGCAGCGTGGCTGAGGCACCAAGATGTTATAATCTGAAGGATGCGGGCTCCAATACCCAGAAACCCTAAACTTCAACCCGCCGCTTGAGATTGGGCAGCGGTTATGGCAAGGTACTACGATGGCTGCATCGTCCACCGGGTCGTCAAGGGCTTCATGCGCCTTGGGGGAATCTATTGCGTGACCTTTGGGTTCGGAACCCTGAAGCCTCCTATGTTCTGGTCTTGATTTTTGGGTGGTACAAATAGCCTCTTATTTGATACCTGGGCCCTTAAGCCTTTGCTTGAAGGTTCGTGGAAAGTGAAAAGTTCTCTTAGTGCTACCCCCAAGTAAGGTTAGCACATGTTAGCACATGTTAATGTCGTATCCTGATTAGTCTGGACCCCTCCAATAATGAAAAGTTTTCCAAAAATTATTCAGGAGACAAAAATTCGATTGCCCCCCCCCCCACAATAAAGTAAAGTTTTTCGGGCACGGAAGGCTGCGAACTGTGAGCTTTTAATTACTGAGCTTACCGGAGCTTTCCTGAGCTGAGCTCATCTGAGCTTACCTGAGCTTACCTAAGTTTACCTGAGCTCTTACCTTTAGCTTTTATTACTGAGCTTACCTGAGCTTTCCTGAGCTTACCTGAGCTAAGCTCATCTGAGCTTACCTGAGCTTAATTACTTAAGAGGAGAGGGAGAGGAAGAGGAGAGGGAAGAGGAGCGAAGAGGAAATGAAGAGGAGCCGGTGGGGGGGGCCCGGGGCCGAAAATTAGTTTGGGGGGGTCCCTTTTTTTTGGTGACACTATTGCGGGGGTGGATTTAGTTTGGGGGGGGGGGGCCCCCCCACACTAATCAGGATACCACATTATAGAGTTTCCCCACCTTGTCAGAGGGAACCTCCAACCAGGCCAATAAAACACTAAGGTTCAGGGTTTGGGGTTTAGGGTTTAGGGGTTGGGGTTCAGCGTTTAGGGTTTGGGGTATGGTATCTCACCGTGCACCTCCAAGTAGGGTTCAGGAAGTTGGATGCCAGGATGCAGACTGGCGATCCGGACCCCAGCACTTCCAACGGCAGTGGTGGCGAGTCCCCGCCGACGCGTTTAGAGTTTTGGGGGTTAGGGTTTAGGGTTTACGGG